ATACCGAAGACACCGCCGACTCCCTAGGGGACCATGATGATGACAATCATCATCATCATCATCATCATCGTCATCGTCATCGTCACAATCATCATCATCATCATCATCATCGTCATCGTCATCGTCATCGTCATCATCATCATCATCGTCATCGACATCATGATGATCATAATCCCATCATCATGATCATGGTGGTGATGGTGAGCTTTTTTGAAAGGCTGAAAGGCTAAACCTACGAATCGGTGGAGAAGAAGCTTTGCCATGTGAAGGTTGAAATCGTGAACCCTCAAAACATTCCTCTACTAGAGGTCTAGACAGACAGGTTCTTCCTGGAACAGTCACATTCTCAACGTTAGAATTTCCCGGTCGATCCTATATGTGCTTGATCAAAATAGTATCTGAACTATATATATACATATATATATATATATATAGTGATATAATATGATATGATCCGGGACCATCCCCTAGGACGGTTTTCCGTTGTTAAGCAATATACACAGTTGTTATAGCTGTCCTGAACGATCGCTAAATTTCGATGTCGGGAGCCTCTGTGTTGCCGATGCGCTTGTCCATGCAGTAGCCCACGGTGAGTGTGTAGCACTCGCCCTTCCTCAGCACTGCAAGCCGAGAGCTCATGGCAACTCCAAATAGATATCCTATGAGAAACTCGTTCTTGACCTCAATATGGGTTTTCCATGTTTTTTCCAAACCCATCTGCCTTACCTTTACAAGTTGGAGGAGTTTGGGAGGCTTCTCAAGTCAGTGGACCCCATTTCTGGACAAATCCAATTTCCAACAACCAACCGGCGAAGGCACTCGTTGAACAGCATGCTTTGAGCTTGGGGGGGCATCTCGATTCGCTTACCTCCATTCCGGGATGGTCAAGGGAACTAAGAACTGTAACGGTCCAAATCCACACGGAAAGGGCAACTTGTCAAACAAAAAAACATTTAAAAAATGCACTCCTGACACCATGTTTTCTCAATCCACTACAATCCACTACGCCACGCTACTGAGCTCAGCCCTGCCATGTTTTTTTCCCTACAGCGCCTGTGGCTGCAATCGCCATCAGAGGCCCCGTGTGCGTGCCGGTCGCGCGAGAGAAGAACCACACCCGGTTGGGTTCCAAGGGATCCACCTCGGCTGAGAAAGTCTCCCCCAGACTTCGGAATATCAGAAAGCCTGACAGTCAGAGTCATAGAAATTCCACTATATATATATATGTATTATGTATATATTTATCTATCTGTTCTTTTCATTTCTTTTTATCCCCATTGGACTCGTAGATATATTGTTGGATATGATTAAAAAATCCCACAATATCCCAGCCTAAAGCCATGAGATCCCCATCCCGCCTGAAACCAGCTGTTGTCAGCCAGGTCAGGCACTGCATCCCTCAGTTTGAAGGAACCAAAGGCCTGGCAACAAGGCCTGGTCACAAAAAAAACACCAGAAATTTGCACGACATCGTTACATCGTTGATGGTTTGATAATGTTTGATAGGGTAAATTCTGATAGTGAGTTGAAAGTCATCAATCATGATCTTGGGTATCCTAGCTGCTTATGGTGCCCTTGGGGTATCCCCATGTTAATAGGGAAAAATTATGGTCTAAACCTGGCTGGATTTGGGGGAGCGTAGTTTCAGACAAACCCCAAAAAACAAGCAAGGTACCAACCAAGGAAAGGGAGCTGACCAAGCAAAGAAGTGGAAAATCATGATGAAGAAATCCAAAAATGGAGATCTAAGGAACAAAAATGGGAATATACGGCCACTTGGAGAAATGGGGAAGATCCGCGGATTTTGGAAATGTGGCTCTGCCGTGCCAGGTATACCCAGGCTCTCCCAGTTGCAACTGCGCACTGCCTGCATGAATTCCTTCTTGCTCAATGGCCCCACAATGGGCGCAACCTGGGCGCCAGGAGATCCCGGAAGCGGGCAGGGCCTGACCTCAATAGTTCTGGTGTCACTTGGTAAATTGGAGGTCATTGGGGTTATCCAAGTTTGACTCGCACTTCTTTCTGAACTTCTAGGAAAAAGGGGAATAGCATGTCAAAATAGCGATCGCATGGGCAACTGATTCGCCCTAACAAATGTCGTGGTGGCATCCGAAATTGGGGGGTAAGAATTCTGAGGCTTGCCCAATGAGCAGTGCCAGCAGCCCATTGGTTCATGCCTGGATTCCCCACCATAGTAATGAGAACAATCTCTATCAATGCAAACGGTATAACTCCATGATTCAACAGCATGCCTCGTTTCTGGTTGATAAACCCATTTGTTGCTGGTTAAATCAGTCAAATCAACCTGTCTTATGTTTTCATAAACCACCATTTCTGCTTTGTAGACCCCATTTCTGCTGCGTAAATCATCATTTCCCATGGCTCTTCCCCAGCAGAATCCAGGCAGATCCAGTGACGAATTGGAAGTCATCTGCCAAACAGTTGCTGTCAAAGCCCGCACCCTTGGAGAGTGGTGACTTTGGGGTGGCAAATCTTACCCCAAAGACTGGGAGAAGAAGCAGTGAAAATGCGGCGATGACGAGTAAACATGGAGAATGTCACCGGGGAAGACTTAAGGCATAAAATACCAGGTGAAAATGGGGATAACCAGTAAAAACTGGGAAAAAAATGGAAAAATGGGGGTTTCAGAGCGTATATGTTTGTATGTTGTTTGTTATGATTTTGTGTTGGGGTTCAATGTTTCATCTTCGCCTTTGATGTTTTTTCAGGTGGGGTTTTGGGGGTAATTTTGTTGCTAAAGTGATGTGTCAATGTTTGGATTGAATGGGGGTAGGATTTGTTTAGGCTGTTGGGGTTTTTGTTTGTGTTTGGGTGGATGATTACTTCATAATATGCGTTGTTAAGATATTATGAATTAATCATTTATGCTTTCCACTTTCCTATTCCATCCCACCAGTGTTCAATCACTCTCATTTGTGTTAAGCAGGGTTTGTTTGTATCATTCAGTTCATCCATCGCTATTGATAAAAGAGTTATGTTAATAATCATTGCGTTGAATTCACCATCACGGTTGAGTTCCTTTCCACAATCAATGATGATTTTTTTATCAGTCAGGTTTTCATACATCTTTTTCATAATGTCAAAATTTACAAACATATATATCGTCATATCCTTTACCCCTTCCCCTGATTTCATCCTATCAATTACTTTCTTCCAAAACTTTTCTCCTTCCTCATCATCTGGTGAAGGCATAGGATGGCACTTTACAAAGTCTCTAATCTCTTCATTTTCTTTTTCTATTTGTTTTCTTTCCCAATCATCGTCCTCACTATCACTACCAAAGTCAGCATATATACCAATATTCCCTGTATCTATAACCTCAATTTTTGCTCTACTCATTTTCTCTTACTATATATAGATATTTTTTCTTTAAGTATTTATCACTTTTTGTAGGTGCTCTTTTATTTCTTCTATGTTCAAATATTTCTCATAACCGTTGAACAGTTCTTCAACATATTCACGCAAGAAAATTTCCAAAATGTCTTTTATCTTGAACTCCCTGTTTCTAAACATAAAAGTTCGTTCAACATTAGGAAACCACCAGCATCTTCGTTGCTTACTGTAATTGATGAAATTAAGGTCGTGAAAGTTCTTTAGAATATGATAAGTGTATTTCCAATGGTTTTTGACATAAGACTTAATCGCTTGAAGATATATCTTATCTTTTTGAAATTCTACCTTCAGTTTATAGGTGTCCATTAAAGCGTCTATTTCTCTCTTCATTACTCTTACATTTGTTCGGTCGGTGTTGGATAAATAGATAGGTGATTTTTCCATCCTTGTTTTAAAGAAATGTATTTGTTTTTCAACTTTTGTTAGTTCTTTCTCTTCAAAATGGTCAAAATGATAGTTGAATGTTATATATCTGCGTTCCTTATCATTCAACTCTTTACATTTTGAACAGTGAAGGTTGTAATCACATATCTCATCACAAATTCCAGCAGGAAAAATGTTGTTCAATAAAACCTTAATGTCAGTCATTTCTTTTTTACAACATCCACAGTTTTTATAGGTAAATAGCATCCTCTTACTATATATAGGTAATTTTTCTTTAAGTAGTTTTTGGGGGGCTCGTTCAGTTTTCGGGCTCGGGTTGGTTTTTATTTTCCCTTTCCTCCTCTTCCAGTTCTCTTATGACCATATCTATTTCACTCATTCCTTCGTTGGGGTCTTGTCCATTGGCGAGGTTTCTTAACCTCTCAAAATCCTTCACTTTATGTCTTTCATTGGGTGGGAGGGTTTTGAGATGTTCCTTCAACTCTGTCAGGTCAAAGTATGTGTCTTCCTCCTCATCCTCATTTTCCAAAAACATTTCCATTCTTTGCTTTTCCATTTCCATAAGTTTGTTTTCCATATATTGGAATTTCATTTGCTTCTTGTAGCACTTGCCACACACATTCACGAAGGTTTTGAGCAAGTAGTTCCAATTAGGTTGGTTTCTATCGTTCAGGGTTATAACATCTGTCATTGTACGACATCCACAGTCAAATTTAGTCATCTTATTTAGTCTTACTATATATAGGTATTTTTTCTTTAAGTATATTTTTTATTGTTGATAATTTTAAAAATCTAATATTATAATATATGGCAAGGAGACTATCAAGAGATGACATCATAAGCAATGTCTATTATAATCTTGAAACGGGCTTCGGTTCAATCAATGAGACCCTTAAGAAAGCCAAGGAGCAAGACCAGACCATCAACAGGGTGGATGTGGAAAACTTTATGAGGAAACAGCCCAACAAACAAATTAGAAAATACAGGGGGTCAAACTCCTACACCGCACCCTTCGCAAGGTTTGAATATCAGATTGACATAATGGATATGAAACCCCTTACCAAAGAACCAGAGACGAAAATTCCCATCAAGAACGATGAACCGAGATATGGGTTGGTGGTCATTGACATCTTCAGCAAGTTGACAAACGTCGTCCCTATGAAAGAAAAATCCGGACCAATCACATTGTCGGCGATGAAAGAGAGTTTCAACAAAATGGGTTTTCCAATGTCCGTTGATAGTGATAATGACCGTGCCTTCCAAGCAGGGGTAAAAGAGTTCTTTGAGAAAGAAGGCATCACTCACGTCGTCACCCTAACTCACGCCAATGTTGTGGAGCGTTTCATAAGGACAATGAAGAATATGATACACGACAGGGTGAGGCTTAATCGCGGTAGTTGGACTGTAATGTTGTCCAAAGCGTTAGATAAATACAACGACACCGTCCATTCATCCACCAAAATGAAACCCAAGGATGCCCACGACGACAAGAACCATATGGACGTCAGGGTGAATTTGACAAGGAGGGAAAAGAACACTCGCAAATATCCAGAGGTCAAAGTGAATGATATGGTCAAGGTCTTTGAGAAGAAAAAAGACAACTACACCGAGAGGAAGGAGTATAACTCAAAATGGAGCAATCAATCCTACAAAATTGTCAAGATAGAATACGATGATGTCGGAAACAGAACCTTCAAACTGGAAGGATTGAACAAACCGTATTTGAGGCACGAGATTTTGAAAGTATAAAAAATTATCTATAATATTAATATATGACAGAGGTAGTCGTAAAAGAGATTGATAATGAAGAACCCAAGGAAGAAACAATACCAGAACCAATACAGGAAGAAGCACGGCAAAGCCCTGCTTCCTATCGGGAAGCACCGAAAGAAGAGGAGAAACCAGAAGAAACAATTGAACCACCCGTTGAAAAGAAACCGCAACCAGCGCCAAAGCCCAAAAGGGTAAGACCGTCAAGGGCGAAACCACCTTTTGACCCAGAAGCATTCAAAAACGACCTTGTAAAGCAACTGAAGGAAGAACTACAGAGTGCAATGACCGCCAGAGACACCTACAACAAAGCCAAAGAGGAAAAGAACAAAGCGACGAGAGAGAAATTGAAATCTTTAGCATCAAAAATTTTTATAAAGTATTATATATATAAATGAACATCAAGGAACAGAAAACGGAACTCAACAAAACTGACATCTACGAAAACGTCCGCAAGGACATCAACAGAAGACAAACCGTCCATTCAAACAAAAGTGCCAACTACAGGAGCGGAACGCCCGAAATGCCAGACAGAAGAAAAAAAGTGTATAGTAGTTATGACCACTACTACCACAACGACAGCAACACGGCAAGGATGCCAACTCACAACCATCATCTTTACCTAAAGCGTCTTCTTGAATATCACAACACCGAGCACGACTACAAGGTCTTACAAGTAAAGCAGAGGATGAAGGAAGAGAATGAGATGCTACAGAACGAAATGACAAGGTTGAGGGAGGTGAGGAAAAATCACAGATTGGAAGATTACGGGGCGAACGTCCAGAATATGAAACAGAGAATTGATGAGTATAAGCAGTGGTTGAGAGGCGATACACAAGATTAATATAAAAATCTAAAGTATTAATATATAGCAATGACAGCAGAAGTAATCAACGCAAAACAGGGATTGACACGAATACCCACTTACGCAGAACTCATCAAGGAAATAGACAGGGAAAAGTTCAAAACCAATGACATCAGAAAAATCTTTGATAGGAACGCTTGGTATTTTCACGAAAGTCCGCAGGGTCAAGCACTGAACACAAACAACATCCACCCAGCAGACTTACAGCAAATGAACTTCAAAAAGATGGCAGAGGAAGCGACCGCAAGGAAGGAAGAAGAAACACCCAACCTTGACTTTGAAGATATGACCGACTTGAGGGACGACGCCATCAGCGACTTTGAGATGTCCTTTGACAGAGAGGCAGAGTTGAGGGAAGAGAACGAAAGGAGAGTAGCAGAACAAGCAAATTTAAGTCATTCACAAGACCACTATATGGCAAACAAAGGGGCATACGACGCCGTCGGAGCAACAGCATCGGCAGGGATACAAGAAGACGAAGAACCACCTTCAAGCAGTAGAAGCATCTTAAAGAACTTCCTTAAATCATCCAAACCAGTCATCAAAGCAGTCGCCACAGCAGGAGGAACAGCAAAGGGAGGGTCAATAGGAGGACTAATAGCATCAAAACTGACAGACGCCATCATACCCGACGAAGACGAGGAAGAGAAACCGTCCAAGATAAAACCAACACAAAAACTAATCAACAAACAAGTCAAAAAGGTAAATCACCAAAAGAAGTTAAAGGAGGAAAAATCAAAGATGAACGTAGATGTAGTGCCCAACACCGCAGAAGCAATGGATACAACAGCAATACCAACAGCAGAAAAGAGGAAACCCTTAAGCGTGAGACAGTCCAAAGCAAAGAGACAGAAACCAAAACCGCCAACGCAGGAGAAGAGAGAATTTCAGGAAGACCCATCCACAACCACCAAACCGCCCAAAGCAAGAAGAGTAAGAGGAAAGCAACCCCAACCACAAGCATTAGGAGCAACAATCAACATCCACAAAGACAACAAGACACCCAATGTAGATGAAGCAGAAACAGCA